AGACACCTCGCCCTGCTTTGGGCTGGGACTAGAGCTACTTTTTTAACTGGAGAGATGTTTCCCATCTTCATCATTCCTTTAAGGTAGCCTGCCTTCAGCTTCTGGTTCCAGATCCAGGGAAGAATTTTACACACACACACACCACACACACCACACACACCACTCTGGAATACCACAGATGCCTTTAATCTCCCTGTACTTTGCAACTTTACATTAAGAGTGACTGTATTTATGTGCTTATTCGTGGGTGACTTTTAAAATGTAGCAAATAAACATATTCTCAAATTGTCTAAAATCTTTTTCCATCTCTAGGATCAGGGGTTCTCACGTCAGAGAGGAAGTGAAGAGTTGATTTCGAATTCAGGAATCATCAGGCAGGGTAGTTATTCTTTCTTGGGTTCTGACACAGACTTGTTTATGGAGCCCCTACACACACTGTGTACCTTTGCAAAAATTAAAGGTGGTGTGTCAAGTTATTTCCTTTTCTGCTTTAAATCAATTCTAGTTTGTCTTTTAACACTACTTCCTTGCTACACCCAACAAGTAACACCTCTCTTGGGTGTGATTGGCAGAAAGAAACATTTAAATGCTGAAATTTGTTGTTTAGGGCATTTCTCTAAAATGCCAAGGAGGCAAAACTAATTTAACTTTGGAAGAAGATTTTGATGGGGAGGTAGAAAAAGTTTCATTAAAAAGACGTTACATAGGAAAAGGTCAGAACCCAACAGGACTGTATTTCCGAAAGTGGAAAGTGGAACATGGAAAGGCTGGGGTAGCGGCCGATTGTGGCAAGAGAGAGCTTTGTTAGATCCTCCCCACCCCCAACGCCCTGTAATAATTTTTTAAAACACACTTCAAAGTTATTGAAGAACTTCATTCATTGTCATTCAAACCGCCCAGTTGTTTTTGTTGTTGTTGTTGTTGTTGATGTTGTTACATTGTGTGATTGCTAGGTGTGTTCTTTCATATAAGTAGGAGAGTCTATCAGAAAGTTGATTAATTTTAGAACTGCATTAACTGCTTCTAAAGAGATGAAATCTGCTTTACTCAAACTGGGATTTTTGAAAAGCTTTTGTGAAAGGTTAATTCATCATTCTACAGAAGAAAGTGTCCCCTGGGGACCTCAGGACTGAATGTGGGAGAGCAGGCCCCCAATGATAAGGAAAAATCCTCAAAGTTGTGAAAAATAATTTAGCAAATGTGATTCTTTCTGTGTATTTTAACATGTCCATGTATTTAACCAGAAACTGAATCATTGAGCAGAAGGGTTGTTTTTTAAATACAGTTGTCTGAAAAATATTTTGGAAAAGTTTATAGCCTCACTTTTTAACAAGATGATAGATAGCTTTTCATATGTAAAGTAGTTTATTTTAAAATCTCTTTTCAATCTCCAAGCCTCCCAAGAATGAAGTGGGCTTTGATTTAGTCCCATTTCACAGAAAAACAATTCAAGGCAAAGGGAACTGCCACCATCTGTTCAGGTTAACAAGGAGTCCACTAGCTGTGTGGCCTTCCCCAGACGAAGGCACCCTGGTTGAGGAGGCCAAAGCAAGGCAGGAAAGCGGCATCCTTTATTCCAGCCCTCGAAATGTCTGGACAAATTGGTGGTAAAAGTACTTATGAAGAACTTTCTTAGAAAGGGGGAAAGGTTGGTTGTTCTCCATTTCAATGGATAATTGAAGAATCCAGCTTTAAAAGGATAGTAAGGGACCTGGAGGAGCCAAGGGGATTACAATTTACCTTTTATGGGGCAGCAACTGGGGGGCAGGTGGGGGCAGAATTCGCTGCCTACTTGAAAAAGTGGATGTTTTCTCCGCTTAAATTCCTGCCCTTATAGGTTTAATTAAAAGCTCTAGAAATCAATGTAAATAACAACCCCAAACTACTGAGGGGTTGGATTGCAAGTTATAGAATATGGCCAGTTTTGCATAGGGGTTTTGCAGAGAAAAGGGAAGCTGGGAGAACGGTAAGAGGCAGAAGACAGAGGAGGGGAAAACGGTCTTCCGCATTGCGGATTTCCAGTTACCACCGGCACCCAGTCGCTCACCCAGGGCTGGACGCGAGACTCACTGGCTGGGGCCAAGCGCAAGACCAAAGGGCCCCAGCACTCCTGCGCGGCCATCATGGCTAAAATAAGGGGACGCTGGGGTCCCAGAGATCTTGCAGCTGGATTTGCCCTTGCCCCGCGTTCCACAGGGAATCACTAAGAAAATGCCTCAAGGAGAGCTCCAGAATTTGAATTTACTAGGGATGTCTAAGTTCACACTCCGGAAAAAAAAAGGAAAAAACACTAACCCTAGAAAGGCAACGACAGCAATCACGTGTATTGTGTAGCTGCCACGCTTCGCTTTTCCATCTTACATTTGAATTGGCAGTTGGAGCCGGGCTGACATTGGGGTCACTCTGCCAGGAAATGTTGTGGCCTTCGCTTATCTTGAGAAATAATAAATTGCAATGTCCTATTAATAGTAAAGGGTAATGATTTTGCTTTTCAAACAAAACAATATCTGCCAGATAAAAGGGGAAGAGATCCTTTGGAAGGTAAGGAACCCCAATTATTATCAAGCCTACCGCCTTTTGAACACAGCATATGCTCTTAATTTTTTAAATTCTTTTGCCGTTCCCAAGAAATCCAAATCAGCGTCATTAAAGCCAATTTCTTTCTCTCCCTTTTTTTCTCCCTCTCTGCCTCTTCTTTCTATAGTGGTGTGAAAGTTCAGTTATTCTCCATCGTGAGTAAAAAGCTTTGGAAATCAGCTAATGTGCCAACACCGGGAACATATCCAGGCCCACGGTGAGAAAATGGAATGTGTGCTGTTGAATTATTATTTTTGTCCTGTAGGTTTACATCTACGCCTTTGTATTATGTAAATTTATGAGAAGCTGTGAATCACAGGGTTAGGTAGAGGAGGGGTTTCTTCCCCTCCACAGGCAGCAGGAACCGACCCCATTCAGTCATTGAAGGATGCACAGCCTTCTTCTTCTCCCTGCTTTGTACCCAGACCCAGCTCCTCTCCCCACCGCCGACCCCGCGGCCCGGCGGGGGCTCAGGGCTGCCACGCAGGCCCCAGGGGCCTCAGTGGCGGGCACGTTCGTGACATCAGTCGGCCGGCCCCACGAGGTCACCGCGGGCCGCGGAGTGCTGCTTCCCTGTTTACCAGCGTCAACACTGAGGCGGGGCGCTTAACGCTCCGCAGCGTCTCCCGTACCCTCTTCCTCTCTGGGTCTAACGGGAAACTATGAGGGCAGACCTGCCGTCAGTGAAAGCCAAAGAGTGAAATGAACTTAAAGAGGACACGGAGGGGAGAGAAAAAGAAACATGACTTCCAAATTAATTCAAACCAAGACAGCAATAATTTAACATGGTAAAAGTTAGTAAGATTCCTTAAAAGACGGATCAAGCCTCTTCTTGGCATTTACATCTCAACTCTCGAAATGCGTACAATGCCTGTGGGAGCGGGTCTGAGAGAGGCCTGGCGGGGAGGGGTAGTTTGTATCGCAAAGGGGGGTCCACCCGCACCAAGAGAAGGGGGACGACAAGTGGCTGAGCGTCTCCCTCCCTCTTTCAGGGACTAAGCCAGCTGGAGGTGGCCGCGGGGTATCGCGCTCGTTGGACAGCCAACCCATTTCCTCCTCTTTTAGCAAGGAAGAAGAGCTTGGCAGGGAGAGCTCAGGAACCGGAATGAAAGGACAAATTGGAGGGTGGGACCCAAAGGGGAAACCCTTCGACAGAAGAATCTAGTTAGAAAATTCTCTCGCTTTCCCCGGGACCGTCAGCAGATACCCAGTAATTCTAAGCACAAGCCAAACGGCTCCGAAGGGAGGATTCTCGGGGGCAGGAGTAGGCACAAAAATGTATGACAATGGACAATGAAAGGTTTTTGGAGTAGAACTCAGAGGTGACCCCCCCAACCCCGTTTAAAATCGGCTTATGAAAGTGTTTTCCGGGAAACTGAAAATGACAGGCAAAACTTATTAAAAGATGCTCTAGTTCCTTCTTGGGCGTGCCACAGCGTCAGGCCTGTTTTCTTTCTCTTGACATCTAGATTAAATGGCCCTTCAGTTACACTCAGTCGTCAAAGCAAGTCTATTAGCGACTGTTCTGTTCAAAAACTTTTCAAACGGGAGCCCTCCGCCATCTGTTACTTGGTCTTTAAACCCGATCCGGCACCCCCTCCCGAAACTCTTTGGTGACTGCCCCCTTCTCCCGGCCTTGGGGGTGGGGAGGGGAGGGACGGAACCGCCGCAGGATCCGCGGGGGTGCGGCGGGGAGAGGGAGGAGCGCGATCGCGCCCCAAAGGCCCGCGGGGGGGCGAAGGTGTGGAGGCCGGAGGTCAGAGGGACGCGGGTGGCGACGTGGCGGCGCAGGCAGTCGGGGCACCGGGCGGGGGGGGGGGCGTGCTGGCCGCGCCCGGGAGCGGGGGGCGGGCGCGGAGGTCTGGCTGGCGGCGGGCTGCGGGAGTAGCGCCCCAGCTCCCAGTCCCCTCTAAGGGGCTCGAGTCACCATACCTAGCCCCTCCAAGGCAGTGTCACAGAGCCCGGTCGCCCTCGGCCTCGCCAACGTCATTTTAACTGTTCGGGACTCTTGAGCCAGGACCAATAAGTGGAGAGTCCAGCCGGGGAGCGTTGTCAGCTTTTCCGTCTCACTTCGGGCTTCCATTAAATGGCTCTGCTCCGGGAAACGAATCGTGAGTGAGGCGGGGCACCTCCGCGCCGGCGCCCGCAGCGGGAACGCAGTTCCCGTCCGAGGCCAGGGCCGGGGGACGCCGAGGTCGCCGCGGTTATGGAGGCCCCCGCGGCCGGGAGCCGCGGGTCGGCGCGGGGCGCTCCGGGCCGGGAGCCGCCGACTGCCGGGGGCCGGGAGGTAACTACATTGTTAAACGGTTCTCAGAGTTTTTTTAGCTCAAGGATTTTTTGATTTACATCTTTTGCGTCTCCATTTCTCTAAGCTCATTTTCTGCTCTGTAATATTTGAATTTCTATTATAGACATTTTTTTTCGTGGGAAATAAGGAAGAAAGTTTGAAAATAACATCAAAACTGCTCTAAACCTCTTGGGTAGTATCAAGGAAAGAATCGCGCTGTACTGAAGGTAGTTTTTATTTTGACCACAAAAATTATCTGGGGACTGCCGCAAAAACGCTAATCAGCCAATTGCATAACCAGCTATCAGTGTAGAACAAGACAGTATATTCGGGGCATCCTCTTCTAATTGTTCATTTCCCAGGATTCAACGACACCGCTGTAAATTGCAGGCAAAACTTGTCTGGCTTTTGTAGCTTGACTTCTAGGTAGTTTCTCGAATAAGTAGGAGAAATTGGGTTGCTTGTTTATAAACTTCTTTTTCCATCAAGTCCAGCCCTGAGTCGAGTCCGTAGGGAACGCACCTCACAGGCCTGTGGGAACGGGTGAGAAAAATCCCAGCATTAGTGCAGGGGCAGAAACAAACCCAGGGCAGGTGATCCCTGTCGGTAATCTTTATCGGCTCATAAACAGCTCTCACCTTTGGGGCTCTTCATTTACTTTTACAAACTGATTTCATATGTAAATACTGTTCTGAGAACAATAATTTCACTAGGTTGCAACGAAGCCCTACTAAAAAAGAAATAGTAGTAACAACAAAGGTCTAAAGATAAACAACGAACCACTCGCCCACCTCCCCTCCCCCAAAAGAAAAGAGGGCTCTGAGTTAACAACTAACCAGTGATACTACCCTTCACATGCTCTACTAAATTAGCAAAAAAAATCCATATCTGCTTCCAAACTAAAAGCACATTAGTAGCCTTAAATCTGAACTTGTCGCCCAAGTGTTTGTTGATGTGCTAGAAAGTTCTCACTGTGTATTCATTAACTAATCTGACCTACTCAACAAGACTCTTTCCTTGAACCTTGCAGACCCTCCTGTTTGGGGCCTACTCCAACACCCCACCTCCATCACACACCATAAGAAATAACAAAAGACCAGTCCGAGATAAAGACTGAGCAAAACTGCAGAAGAATTTAGGAATGTTTTTGCTCCTCTAGAAGGAAGGTAGGTTGCTATTTATTAAACAGGAAGAAGTGCGGATGGGTCTGAGAGCCTGGGGAGGGGAGGTGGTTAAAATAATAATCTTGCCCCATTTAGCTGACCGCAGCTAATAAGACGCAGAGGGAAAGCAGACTGCTATTTTTGATGAAGAGGCAGGAGTCGTGGATGTTGGAAAGACCTGAAAATCCTAAAAACATGACCAGAGATGAATTAATGCACTTGGCAGAAGGTTAGATGTTATAATATTTCTCAATCCATTTTTTTATTTTTTAAAAATGCAACATATTCTGTGACTTATTAAGGAATAAGAGATGAAAGACTGTGGATTATTTGGTCACCGAAGGCTCCATTATATTGCCTTTTATATCAGATTGCAATAATTTTGACCAAAAACTGCACTTGCTTGTGATAGGGATATAAATAAAAAGCCTGTGAAAATCATGCAACTTCTTGAGCAATCAAGAACACAGTTTAGGAAGCACTGAAATAAAAATTAGATTCCATAGGCAAAAAATGAGAACTTTAACTTATTTTAGAGGAGTAGAACTTTTTCTTATTTTCTCAAAGGTCTTAACTGAGAGTTTATCTGGTCTGTTCATGTCAAGGACTGCTCTGCTCTCTTCAGTACATCTCATGCAGGATAAGCCACACAGTTAATACTCACCTTCCACAAGGACTTAAAGTGGGGAAAATAAATACTGCCTTTCTGTGGCTGGGACGGGAGGGACACTTAAATCGCCAGCTCTGACCAAAAAAGAGGGGGATTATAAGATTCTCCAAGAAAATCCAATTGTAGTTTCTATTTTGCCATTAACAAAATGAACAAGGTTTTCTTGCATTCTTTTAATAAACAATTTTAAAGTATTGGACAGTTTTAGAAGCTTCGAAATTTGCCAAATATGCTCTGCTTTTCTTGGTGTTTTGTTTATCTTTCAAATGTGTTTGGAAAAAAACCCCAAAGTACTGGACAGATTTGACAGTAAGATGGAAGCCTTTCCTAAATACATTTTGCATTCTGTTTAAGGTAATCCTTAATTTTTTATTAACAGTTTTAGGTTAGGTTTTGAATAGAAAATACTCTAACAAATGTAATATCAAGACCTTGATTTATAAAAGCACCTCTTCAGGATTAGCAAGCTCAGGTCTGATGGTTTTAAAGGAAGGGCGTAATTGCTACTTTGAGATATCTGTGTTACTCAGATGACACCATACTTTCAAACACTTGTCAAAAGGTAAATCCCGAAAAGACCAGTGAAAAGCAAACAGTTGAAATATTAACTATACAAAACACGTATACCCCTTAGCCAATAATTTTCCTTTTTAGTTCAGTGTCCACCGAAGGAGAAATTTACTGAGGTCAAAGCAAGGCTCTTTTGCCGTTGAGGAGGGAGTGGGGGAGGGGGAAAAGGGAAGAGGGAGGGACACGCGACGAACGTAAAACAAACTGGTGGCATTCAGTCAAGACGGCAGGTAACGCTCGGGAAGCGGGTGAGTTGTACAAGTCAGTTGGGCGCTCCAAAGCTTTCCAGAGCCAGGCCGTTTCGTGCTTCTTTGCTTTTTCCTTTAAACCTGGCCCTGTGTTGGAGCAGTGCAGCATGAGGGGGATTTTTCGATGTTGGGAAGTGGCAGGTAGGAAAGGAAATCTGACCTGCCCCAAAAGGCAGCAATTAAAGTCTTAACCACGACCCATCTGTCGTGGGACGGCCCCCCGCCCCAACCCCGCCTTTCCCCTAGCAAAGCAGCCCCGCGCTCTTTGTCTGAGCAGGGAAGAAGAGGAGACAGGTTCTGAGGCCCCAACAGCAAAAGGAAGGAGAATTGCCAGCGTGTGCGCACCCTGGGTGACCGAGCCCGGGCCAAGAACCGCTCCGAAGTGGTGTGGTGTGGCGCGTCCGCCTGGACGCGCGCCTCAGTCGGCACCGCCGTACCACTGCATCTGTCCGCCTAGCCCGAAGCCACCCCAAGACCCGAAACGAGGCACTTCCCTGGCCTACTGGTTAAGGCCGGTCGCATCCAGACCTTTCTCCCAATGCATTTAGCCCTTTGGCTGCCTTCAACTTCCAATAGGACTCACGCCTCCTCCCCCACATCCTTAGCAACTGAGTTTCTTCACCACCCTCCCAGTTGCCCTGCTTTGCCGCTGGGCATCAAGGAGCCTTCCCAGCCCAGGCTCTGGGCGGTTTCCACCCCTCTGCGCTCGCCCGGCGGGGGCGGGGCAGACCCTCACGAACAGCCCGTGTGAGTGGCCTGGGCTGAGCAATGGGGTAGGGAGGAGGGATTATTGTGAGGTTAATTTCCTCCGTTTGGGGTCCCAACTTCGCATTTTGGGGTGGCGTTCCTCAGGGGCTCAACAATCCCAGGGCTTCTAGCCTGCTTGCCTGCAGCCCCCCTTTCCAGGGCTCTTGCGAGAAGACACCCACAGCCACCCGATGTCTGGCACCCGTCACCACCTGTTCTACACGCACTCACTGAGGGTAACTCACCAGGTAGATGGCACCGTGGGCTGCTGCGGGCGACCACTCACCGGGGCGTGCAGGCCGCGAGGTTCTGAGGCGGCACCTCTGCGCTCTTCCTCCACTTCCTGGCTCGAGCTCCCGGCCGCCGGCTCCTAGCTGCGCAGCCGCTAGTCCCGGAGCTAAGCTCTGCATGTTCGCAGGCTTGCAAAGGGGAGCAACGAGGAGCGTGAGCGCGGCTGCCCTCGGCGCGCTCCGGGCCGCGCGAGTCTTGGCGGCGAGACCCCGCGCAGCCGGAGGAGCAGCCAACCGAGTCTTCCCGGAACACTCCTTACGCTCTACCACTCCTCCCGGAGAGTTTTGACCGGGGCGCCAGATCTCGGGGCGCCTGCATAAGGGGGCGTTGCAGGGGCTGGGTCTCCGCGCGCTCGCGCGCCCGCAGGTCCCGACGCTTGCCGCCTCGCGGTGCACACACAGCCTGGCTGCGTCCCGCGCTGCTGTAAGGAGGAGCGCGGACTCTAGCAGTACGGATGTGGGGGTTTGGGGGTGGAATCCCTAAGTTGTTTCCCTTCTCAGCTCAACTTTCAGTATTTAAAATGCTCCGACAGAGCTCTGAGAGCAGGTACTTAAGAAATACTTTTCCCGGGCTCTCAGTGGGGGTACAAAAGCGCGCGCGCGTGTGTCTGTGTATATCAGGGGTGGGGGCCGGCCGTAGCCGAGGCTTCTTTTGGTGTGACACCCGCTTATTCCTTGCAACTCCTCAACTTTGTGGCTGCAGTGCGTCTTTCCCAAGCTTATGTCACGACATCGCATTTACAAAACCACACACACATAACAAGCCTCCCAAGGCCTTTAATACTCAGGGACGTTTTGTGAGGCCAGTTACCTGCTGGCGTCTTCCAAGTGGTCCAGACTCGGATCGGGCCGCAGAGACTCTGGGATGCGGGAGTCCTGAGCCCCACGCCCTTAGAGGAGCCCTAGAAAGAGGGCTGCGGAGGAGGCGGCGCGGCTTTGACCCAGGCCCAGTGTCTGCCCGGCGGAACCGTGCAGGGAAAGCTCGGATTTCGCTGCGGTCGGCTTCCTGGCCGTGGCTTTCTGGAGCCTGGCGTTTCATAAATATGGCCTGGCGTTTGCCCCTGAATTAGATTCTGTTTCCTTTTTTAGCCCTTGCACAATGATTTTAGATGATGTCACTTAGAGCTAAACGAGAAAATTGATCTCAGATTTGCTTGGCCTTTAAAGCCTGGTTAAGCAGATTGAGAATTAAAAAGACAGAGGAAAAAGCGAAGGGGCGGGGGGAGGATGGTGAGGTGTGCGCCCGAAAGACTGTGCGCAGAGGGGAGGGCGTGCCGCTCTGCGAAGGGCGCCCCCGCCTCTTCTGGGCGGGGGAACTTCACTCGCCAATGAAAAGTAGCCACTGACTGCAGAGGAAAAAAAAAAAAAGTTTTCCTGTTGACTGTTGGAAGCGAATTGAGCAATTATCTAGTTTACCTTCTCCTCTTGGAAGTTAACGATTGGCGAGATCTTGGCTGCGTTATTGACACAACACTTTCTATTGATAGAAATAAGTAGTGATTGTCCTCGAGTCATTGGTGCGCCAAGAACTCTGAGATGGGCTGGCAGGAGTCCATTGGGCTGGGCAGGCAGGTTCGGCTGGTGATGCTGGGGAGGAGGAGGAGGAGGCTGCTGGTGGTGATGGTGCCCGTCCTCCTTTCCGCAGGTCTGTGACAAGCAGGGAGCAAGGACGACGGCGCAGCCTGGCCCCGGCTGACGGACGCTGGCGACTCAGTCATGGACAGTACCTGCCACAACGCGACTGCCAAAATGTTAGCTACTGCTCCGGCCCGGGGCAACATGATGAGCACCTCCAAACCCTTGGCTTTCTCCATCGAACGAATCATGGCGCGCACCCCCGAGCCCAAGGCCCTGCCCGTCCCCCACTTCCTGCAGGGAGCCGTGCCCAAGGGGGACCCCAAGCACTCCCTGCATCTTAACTCGTCGATCCCCTGCATGATCCCTTTCGTGCCTGTGGCGTACGACACGAGCTCCAAGGCAGGAATGACTGGCTCGGAGCCGCGGAAGGCGAGTCTGGAGGCTCCGGCGGCACCGGCGGCGGCGCCCGCGGCGCCCGCGTTCAGCTGCAGCGACCTGCTCAACTGCGCGCTGAGTCTCAAGGGCGACCTGGCCCGAGACGCGCTGCCGCTGCAGCAGTACAAGCTGGTAAGGCCGCGTGTGGTCAACCATTCTTCCTTCCACGCCATGGGAGCCCTGTGCTACCTGAATCGAGGTGACGGCCCATGCCACCCGGCGGCCGGCGTTAACATCCACCCGGTGGCCTCCTACTTCCTCAGTTCCCCTCTGCACCCTCAGCCAAAAACGTATTTAGCTGAAAGGAATAAACTGGTGGTCCCGGCGGTGGAGAAGTACCCCTCGGGAGTAGCTTTCAAAGACTTGTCCCAGGCTCAACTGCAGCATTATATGAAAGAAAGCGCCCAGCTTCTGTCGGAAAAAATCGCATTCAAAACCTCTGACTTCAGCCGAGGCTCTCCTAATACCAAGCCCAAGGTTTTCACTTGCGAAGTGTGTGGAAAGGCAAGTACTATGTAGAAGGGAGGTCTCCCGCCCTTCCACCCACCCAGCCTGCCTGCCTGCCTGCCTGCCTGCCTGCCTTCCTCCCTTCCTCCTTCCTTCCTCCCTCTTTCCTTCCCTACTTTAAAAATTTCATTTTATTTTGTTATTATTTGTATGCATTTGCTATAAGGTTATTTCCCTACCACCCCCCTCCCCGCACTGGGTTTGATTTCAAAGTGCTTGTTGGGCTAACCTGTTCTCCCTGTGTTTAACTTTAAGGTCTTTAACGCACACTATAACTTAACTCGTCACATGCCAGTGCACACAGGAGCTAGACCCTTCGTTTGCAAAGTGTGTGGAAAGGGCTTCCGGCAAGCCAGCACCCTGTGCAGGCACAAGATTATTCACACCCAGGTGTGTGTTTGTCTGTCTCAATTTCACCTGGTTTACTTCCAAACGGTTTGTAGAAAAATAGCTGCTAAACTCTTACTCTTTAGCGTAAGTTTGAAATGTGCTAGCTGGACAGGGGGAAATGCCATGTTTTTGCCTTTGTTCTGCTTAAAAGCATAAGAGACAGAACTACTGTGTTTTTGAGTTTGCAGGACTCCCCTCAATAACAAAATACCCTAACTTCCCACTTTTCTTCCCTTTCTCACAGGAAAAACCTCACAAATGTAACCAGTGTGGCAAAGCATTTAATAGAAGTTCCACTTTAAACACACATACCCGAATACACGCAGGCTACAAACCGTTTGTGTGTGAATTCTGTGGCAAAGGATTTCATCAAAAAGGTATAGAACCCAGGAGGTGTTGCCTTTCAGGGTAGTCTTACTGAAAGTTCTAATCTTTTCCAGGTATTTTAGAAAAAAACAAACAAACGATTTTTTAAAGTGCAGCTAGTTACTCGCACATATGTTGACATTCCAACCTCCTACCAGTGCGTCTGATAAGAATTAGAGAAAGACATGGTTTATATACTGAGGGGGTATTTCCTAACTGCTTGTTCTAGTTTTATAAAATTGGATTGATAAATGTGTTTTCAAGTGTGGAGGGAACGGCCTCATTGTTGGTATTTACAAGTAAACTTGGGGAGAGAAGTGCAGGCACTGAGCGCAGTCCTGCACTTGCTCTCCGAGCTCTCGCAGCTCTTCCACTTGCTTTCCAATCGTCCACTCCTCTCTTTTCAAGCTCTCTTTTCAGATCCACGTCCCTGTCATTTGTCTGTTTCAGGGAATTACAAAAACCACAAGTTGACCCACAGTGGGGAGAAGCAGTTCAAGTGCAATATCTGCAACAAGGCTTTCCACCAGGTTTACAACCTCACCTTCCACATGCACACTCACAACGACAAGAAGCCCTTCACCTGTCCCACGTGTGGCAAGGGCTTCTGCAGGAACTTTGACCTCAAGAAGCACGTCCGCAAGCTGCACGACAGCAGTTTGGGGCTGGCCCGCACGTCTGCTGGGGAGCCCGGCATGGACCCGTCGCCCCCTCTTCAGCAGATGCCACCTGCGACCTTGCCGCCTCCGCCGCCCCCGCTGCCACCCCCTGGGCCCCTGCAGCCTGGGCTCCACCCGGCCCATCAGTGATCAAGGCCAAAGTCCCTTCCCAGCCCCTTTCGGGTCCCCACTATTGAGGCAACGGGGGAAGAGAGCTGGGTCCTGCAGATCCAAGCTTGTCTGCAGACCCCAGGGCATATTGGGCCCCGTGTGTTAGAGCTGATCAGAAGCCTCTGCATTTCCCAGCCTTTCGCCTCTTGCATGCACCTGCTAAATGGTTTTGTGTATTATATCCTATATAGGCACTAACAATTATGAGAAAATTTGGGGTTTTGTTTCTGATTTTTTTTTTTTTAATTTGGAAAGACTTCATCTCGGGTGGAGAGATGGTGTTTGTTTTGTTTTTTTAAAAAACAAAATTCTGCTGTATTTATTGAGATCTGTATTATCCTACCCGGGAATGCTGCACCATTTTAATTTTATTATTGTATATATTTCCATTGTGTTATTCTGCTATCTCAAGATGCCTGCCGATTATTATCATTTCCTCTTTCCCTGAGGTAACGAGACACTGTGTGTATGTTATATATACACGCATAGATGTGTGTGCCTGTAAAGGCACGTTCCACATTCGTGATCACATACACACACATACACCTTAGAGAAAGGTGGTTCACTATGGATGAATTTGAATTTCGGTTTTGATTCCTGCACGTGAAAATTGATTCATTGACTGTTGGAAATAAATACTTGGAACATGCTTATTTAATCAACAAACTTCAGGGCTCTGTTCATATTATTCAGCTAGAGATCACTCTTCTGACAACCTCATCCTTCCATATTCTTTAAAAGCCCAGCCCTGGGTTAATATCACCTAATGTTTAATCTAAAAAACTCACCAAGAACAAACGACAGTCTCTCTAAACAGTTATAACTTTGGTAAAGTAATGAAATTTGACAAAGTTCAGAGACAGAAGATGTGGAGTTTTCTAACAGAAACATGTCTTTGTCCGGGGTCATCTGATACGTTTGTAGCGCTCAGTTAAATGGAAACAACATATCTAGGAGAGGTGTGTAATATACACACCAAACATGCTTTAGGACAATACCATTTAGAAGGGTATCTATTGTTTGCATCCTGAAGGCACATACTGATTTGTACACAGCTGGCAAAAAGAGCCTCCGTGTTTTTATGTGTGTGTATATGTTTATAGACGAATATACTTCCATTCAAGGAGGAAACATGGATGAAAACCAAAGTGTGGCGGGTGCCAGGTCCTTGAAATGCTTCAAGTGTTAATCAGCAGCTCCGCTGTGAGCTCGGGCTCTGGTGTTTTCTAACTGCAAGTCTCTCCTGTTTTCTTGCCAAAACAGTGAAACAACTGCTAAAGACTTTAATTAAGAGGGGTAATTAGTTCAGATTTATCAAAGCCGGGTTGTTATACTATTAGCTGCTCAGTAGAAGCTGCCAGACAAACTCGCAGCGCAGCGCAGCCATCCCACAGCAGCGGGACCACATCCGGGGAGAGTTGCTGGAGAAAGCGGGCCGCAGGGGTCCCCGCCTCGCCACCGCTGTCCCCGCACCCCTGCCAGCCCGCTGGGTGCGTCTCGGCCCCTCCCTCGGCCTGGCGCTCCCGGCAGGCCTGGCTGCCGCGGACAATCTACCGCAGTTCCACACGGCGGGCGCAGGCTGCAGAGAACCCGAGACTTCCTTCCTGCGCCTGGGGCAGAGCAGCGTCGCCAACTCTTGGAGCGCCCCGACGGACGCAGGAGAGAGGCGCGGGGAACGAGTCTGAAATTTGCTGTCCCGCCTCACTATTGCCCGTCTCGCGGCGCTCCGGGAAATGTGGCGCCATCAGCCAAAGGCGGGACGAAGGCCGAAGATGGGCAGGGGGCACCGCAGGGGCACGGCGGCGATTTCCTTAGCAACCAGAATCCGCATTCAAGGCAGGGAAAGACTGACGCGGGGCGCCGTGAGCCCCCGACCCGAGGGGCTCCTCAGCAGCCCAAAGGGCAGGGAGGCCACCGCCCGGGAGAAGACCGAGGGCGAGGGGATGAGCGGCCCCCGTTGGAGATCCACGCCAAGTGTAGTCGGGGCCCCTTTCGGGTTGGGGAAGCCCAAGGCGCGGAGCGCGGAGTTGCAGCGGAGGGTTCGGAGAACAGGGAATTACTGATTCCTCGCGAAGACGTGGGGTCTAACCGCCCCCGGCTCCTACCGCAGAACGCACACCCCTCGCCATCCCATCGCCCTCGCGCACTGGGCCTTCTGGGGCCAGGCCCAACGGTCGTTAGATCGAATCCCCACGTTTCTCTTTTCCTAACATCCCAACACCCCATCTTATCCTTTGCTGCAACCAGATCCATGTTAGATTTGACTCAGAAAGAGAGGGAGACTTTGGAATTCCATAGTTGGGTGGATTCTGAATCGACGCGGCTGGCAGAAGTGCGGTGTCTCCCTGAATATCGTCGCCGATTGAAAACTCCCGTCCCAGGCGCTGGCTACGTCCTCTCCCAGCTGCCCACGCCACAGAGGGAGTTTCTGGAAATGTCGTAGTTGATGGGTAACCACCTTTTGGAGGTGGCTTGGGCGGATCTTGAAAGCATTTGTTCTCATTGAGTAAACATAATGAGGTCAGGGGTCATTTTAAAGGGCAGAAAATGGCCTTTGCTTTGTGAACTTATCCTCAATAAGTATTTGAACTTATTCTCGAAACTCCAGGATGTAATTCTTGCAGACTTTCAAGGTGACACGATTTTACTGGTGAAAAGCAAGTTGAACATTGTTGAGGAAAATTACTAAACCATAAAGTAGTTACAGTGAGGAAGTATTTGTATGTGATATTCCATCACCTTTTAACCCACGCTAGTGTGCTTTGACTTAATATTGAAAAAAAGTCTTCTATGGAAAGATAGAATTGGTTTGTTTGTGTGTGTGTGTGTGTGTGTGTGTGTGTGTGTTGGGGGGAGAGGTGGAATGAATGAGAGAGGGAGAGACTGTGTGCGTGTGCGTGTGCGTGTGTGTGTATACACGCACACGCACACACGAGAGAGCGCGCGCGCGCGTTGGGGGGTTCTGTTACGCTAAACCGGAATGACTGTATAGGTCTAATTTGGGATGGTACAATAGTTCCAGAGAAGGGCAGGCAAAAGGAAACGGTTGTCTGTCTGCTTAGAGGTTTGAGTAGCTTGAAGAGGTGGTGATTAAGTAGGAGAAGCCAGAAGGAAATGCTCTAAAATAAGCACTCAAGAGAACTACTTGTCAGGAGACGAATTATCGACGAATTTTGGTTTATGACAAAGCTGCTAGAGCCTACTAAACAGCAAGGAGAATCTCCTTAAAGATAGTATGAATTTAGAGATTAAGTGGAGGGTGGGCCGATAAAAACTGATGAAGAGGAATACTTAGCTAATAGTCAATGGAAGAAGACCTTACAATTCTGCCCCCTCCAACAAATATTAAAAGGTGCTTTTTTACCCCCTTAACTGTCCAACCTGCATGTGTGTGTCTGTATGTGCTTACATAAATGTTTATGTTCATTCATGAAACAGGTACCATAAAAGTATGCATAGCAAATTGGCTCATCCCAGCCTACCTTCTTTTTACCAGCAAACTTACTCATGTTTAATAAGGAAGAGTGGTCAACATTCAGATTATCTGCAGAGGAAAATGGCTTATCTTCAGCTCTCTCTGTTGAAATTAACTTTTGGTACAGAGAAAGATGGACCATAGGTCTTCAAGGACCAATTTTAGAAAGTTACTTATCTGAAGCTTTATGTTTTGGTCAGTTTTGGAAATCAGAATATAGTCCAGAACTAATAATGTAAGTAGTTAATTTCTACCACTTTTAACACAGTGCAAATCCTGATTTCCAAATATCTCTTCCCAAAGGATATAATTTGTTCAAACTCAAAATTTTAGTTTGAGAACAAGTTATTGTGCAAGATTAGAACTAAGGTGTCATTTTTTTTCCAGTAGTAAATGAAAGAATTATTTAGAGGCCTCATCGAAGGAGTTACTTGTTAGTGAAGTTTGAAGGTTTATGAGTTTTTTATAGGGCTTTGCTCCTTTATGAATGTGGAAGAAATGAATCCAAAAGGTGTAATGGAGTTATGATTCCCAGAATCTGTGCACCCTGTTTGATAGATGCCTCTTTTCTTAGTGGTAGTTAGCAGTGTCAGAAATCATAATTTTGTTAGAATTGGTGACAACTCAAAGCATTGACTAAATTATAACTGTAATGGGTATGTTTTTTCTTTGTAAAGTATTCATCCTCAAATAGACAAGATAAAACATAAATTATGTCAAATTCAAAATTGGGGAAGAAACAAAAATGTTTGTAAGCCTTTGTAGATTTTTGTTACACTTCAAGTTTATGATTTTAAGGAATCATGACTTACTCTGTTACCAAACAGTCCACATTTAAAAGCCTGAAAATTAAAGACAATCCTAAATTTCAATGGGTTAAGAATATGAAGTTGTTGACTTGTCCTGAAAAAGATTTTGAACCAGATAAAACATTGCCTTTTTGCTATGTTTTTGCCAAACCACAGATTACTTTCACACAAGAAATTATACACTTTCATTAGGTTAATTAAAAACCAAAACATAAACCATATTTGTAAGTAGAAGATACCTTATTATGAATTTCATTGTTTCTGGAAATCAATGCATATGTTCATTCCAGCTCCAGGGCATACTAACTAAAAACAAATATTCTAAAGATATATTAATCAACACACTGGTCATTTGTGTCCTCGTCACGCCGAAGCAATTGCCAGTTCAAGCCACGGTAGGTTATCTTACTCCAGGCAATAGACAAGAGGAGGAAGCCTGGTGTTTAAATGACCTTGACAGGAAAATTGGCTTCTGTTATTATATTTTTCTGCTCGTATTGTGACATGTTGCTCATAATGAACTTTAAGCAAAAGTCAGAATCCGTCATGCACTTGAATGGGCACAAAGTTATTACAAATACCCATGTATATTGTCTGTTCAAGTTTGAGGTGACATTGGTATCAAATGAAATCATATTGCTATTGGTCTTATGGAGATAAAGTTACTAAATAAAGATGAAATAAAATTCTGTCAG